TAGCGAAACTAGATTAGCAAGCTAGCAGAAAGTGATACATTATCACTAAAAAAATCGAAAAAGGGTCAGCTTTCCTGTTAAGAGATGTAAACTAACGGTTAAGAATTCAAAGTTTAAACACACTATTGCAATAAGCCTGTCAGTACAAACCAGTTCTCTCGTAATCATTCTGAAGTATTTGATGAACGACTGCTTTGCTATGCAGACAGCACATGAGTTCAGATGGTGATTCAAACGAAATGCTGATCCGAAAACCTGCCCGTGCAATTACACTCCTCAGTTTCTATGATGATGCAAATTGATGGACCTGCTGAGACGCAAAGGTAATTTCGCGCTTCTCATCCTCACTTTTTATTGATTTTGCTCTGGTCACCAAATGTTTTTCGGCCCAAATATACAAGTTGCAGCAGACTGCAGAAGCAAACTTAATTAAAATCAGACATAAGTAATATATGATTGAGAAACTTTGTAAGCATCAATCTGCTCTGACGATCAAACAGGAAACTGCCTTCGCACATATCGAATTTTACAATGCTCAAATATTAACCTCGTTTGATTTTTCGACAAGTAAAAGAGGAATTGTGAATGTTGTGACACCACAGTTCGCGCATATCTGAACTGCATTACGCAATCCATTAATGCAAGGATGTCTGGAAAAAGATCAATTAATGAACAAACCAAAACTTTAATTAATTACTGTTAATAAAAAAATAAATTAGTGCAGAAAGTACTGAAATTTTTAGTCACTAATTTCGAAAAGGGCGCGCACCTGCTAGAAATTTCATCCTTTTCCAGCGATTTATCACCAATCAAATGAAAAATGACCTGAAATCATTTAAACAATTTACGTCCCTCAGCAACTACAAGTGATGTAATTTCTGCAGTGATGATCTATGAATACATGGAAATTATGACCTGTCTGGAAATTCTAACGCTGATTTGCGCTTCGGCCTACTTTTTATACATCTGAAAGGTCGTAGAATTGTTTTTGCAGTTAGTCCGAGAGTCGCAGAACCATTTTTGCCAGCTAGCCCATCTCTCCTCACACTACCGCACTCGTAAAGCTATTCACAGCTGTTACGAAATACTGAGATGCCAAATCTGTTTGAAGATAATTTGTCTGTGCCGCGGATTCGTAGCAGCTTTTCGCCTCACTGGTGCCGATTCGGCACTCCCAACAATTCAGAAAGCAGTGCAAGTAAGCTGGACATTTACTTTTTACCCCTCTCTTGTGCCGTTCTTTGCAACTGTGCGATGTGCTTCCTTCGTTCTATGGGGTTGTAGAAGCTTCACTTGATCACCACTTGTAGTTAGTAATGCACGAGCTTAATGAATCAAAATGGGTCGAATAGTATTCCTATCACTGTACTTACTGTGGCCAAAGAAATTGACAAGCTCATACCATTAATTGAAGACGATGGGACTTACACAATCTACACGTAACTTTTTCATACTTGATAACAAATGAAAAACCGCGGA